AAAATTTTCGTTCAAATTGGATTGGACTGGTATTGAATGCATATATTGTACGTTTATGTAAGTATCTGCATGGAATGTAAAATAAAGTAATTTAGTATCAATGGAAAATTACACCGGAATTTTCTGAAGAGTTTGAATTTTTTATAATATTTATCTTTTTTTGTGTTATAAGAGATCAGTACGTACGTATGTATGTATATTAATAAATATAAAATGTGTACGATGAAACGCTTCCGAAGTTCGCTTACCACATATGGAACAATATGATAAAAAGATTTCTATTAGGAATTTTATTATTTAACAAGCTTGGTTGTATGATAAAATTAGATTAGCCGTACTGTACATCAAAAAAATTTACGTAATTCTATAGCGTAAAGATCTGCAAAATATAAAGATTAAAAAAAAAAACTTTTATAATGCATCAAAATTTTTTTTGGTATCTTACATTTGACATTTGCAAATAATCAAATTGTTCATTCTACCTTTTTCTCGACCACTAGCGGATCTGATCTAAAATGTATAATACTATTAATTAAACATACGTCAAATCAGATAAATGGCAATGTAATGTATCTCCAAATAAACATATTATTTATATCCTGGACAGTTAGATATAACTGATTTATTCAGTTATTCATTGTTATCTACGTAACATAACTTTCATACACTTATTTTAGAGCGAAACCTTAGTTTTACGAATTATTTTTGACAGTTATAATTAATCGGATAAATAGTTATATGTCTAGTAGAAATTTACATGAAAAAACTTACATAGATGTGGTTGGTCAGGAGATAATGAAATTACCGATAGCGCCATCAAAAAACCCCTGTAGTTCACCCACAAAAAATTTTCCTGCACGTGAATTCAGCCAATTAAATAAAAGGATCAGGTGTAACGTGAAACTCACGTCTTTTTAAAATATGATTAATAACTCAAAATTTTGCCCCTTCTGCGTTCTAACAAAAAAATTCCTTGTGAAATTTTAGTATAAACTATGTCCTCCCTCGGTCTTATTCCTAACCCTAAAGATGAAACTTATTACTTTAAAATCTTTCGTTTAATTTGATTTTACGTTACACCTGATTCTTTGATCTAATTGGCTAAAAATCCGACTCCATCAACCAAAAATTCATACCCATGCGATTATCGACCAATTATACTAAACTAAGATTAGTCAAAAATTATAGATGATTATATAAACATTAGATAAACAAGGATCTAGCTAAAAAATAAATTATTTATTCACTGGTTCTTATTAATATTTCTTTACAATTTTTTCTCGTTTATTGTCTATTTCACAGATTCGGGCTGATTAGGAATTTTAATATTTCATTTTTTATTTTATATTTTTTTTGTTGCCTATTTTAATATTGTATCAATTTTTTAAATTATTCGAGTTTTTAACGAATGTAGCAAATGTTGACAGAAGAATAAAGAAAATGAAATATAATACTTCAATTGATATATTATTTTAGGATTAGAGCTTTAAAAAAAATCATGATAATTTAAGAATCCAAGAATATAATCATTTGATAAAAAATTTATTTACAATATAAACATAAATGTAATACTTAATGTTATCTGAATACATTTTTTGATTTTGCCCTACTAGTTTAATATATTTTTAGGTGTTAAAACAAATTTAATTAATGTATAAAGCTAGAATTAATTAATAAATCTTTAATTAATTATTAATTCAATTAATTATTAATTCAAAATTTGTTATTGTGCATATACGTACGTGAAGTAGTATTAAATATACACTTATTTTTTTAGATATCAATAACAGGCTCATTTGTTGATGCAAATTTTAAAAGTTCTTATCCATAGTAATCATATATGAAGAATTCTATTTATTAAAAATGCTTGAAGAAGCATCATATGAAAGAATAACATTCTGAGTTTTACAATATTCAGAATTTCCAGAAAAATTTTCCTCAGCCTGAGCTGCTCAATAATTGTATCAATTTAATATATAGTGACATTATTCAAGGATTTAGAATTGGACTTAAGAAAGTTATCTTATAAAATTGATACGCGGTTATATGGTTTCATTTATATTAGGATTTGTTGAAATAATGTTCGGATTTCGTAACCAACTAATAAATTTAATAAAATTATTAAAAAAAATAATCACTTAGTACTTTGCTGTCTTTTCAGAATTTAGATATGCCTGTAGCATAAATACCCTTTTCATTAATATTTATCACGACACAATATATAAGTATTATCCGGCAAACTTTTATGATCATAAATAAATTTCTGCACGTTATTTTTTCATGTGATACGATGTAAGTAATAGTTATATCCTGGGCAGATGGGTATAAGCGGGGCTGAAAGTCCCGCTTATACACATAGTGCCCAGGGTATAACTGATTTATGCCCTGCGATCTTGATATAGTGACCAGGGTATAAAGCAAATGATTGACTGCACTTGCCGCAAAGCGGCACGTGTTCATTTGCCAAATCGCCGTTATTCACAAATTTTGCCCAATAAAGTATACTTATTTTTCAACATATAAAACTTAATATCTATAAAATTTATAGGTATTTCATCTATGTCTGATTTTTCTTCACTGCCATTTGATGAAAGAATACTTACAGTTATATTCTTAAGTGACACCGGCTGACCCTTTCCCTTATTATATTAAGACTTTTATTCGCACTAGAGCCTCCAATTTTCACAATCTCAGCAGTATTCTCTTGGATTAAGTTCCAGCTAGTTATAATCGATCCACCTTAAAATAAACAATAGTTTGTTGGAAGCTCTCCCATTCGATGGTTACAATGCTGTATTACTGTCAACAAATAATTTTTAAAATACAGTACTTTTTATGCTTGCATGTGATACATAACAGATAATTTATTTCATGTGATGTTATATTATAGAACTATAACAGAAAACAAGATCAAGTCTGAAATATATTAGTAACATTTACTATTGAAAAAGCCATTTTAACTTTTTACTGAATTAATATTTTTAACTTGATTCTGAATTAATATTTTTAGCTTGATCCTGAATTAATATTTTTAACTTGATCATAATCACTATTCTATAAGATAAAAAAGTCGCTTAATACTTTATTTAATAGTTATTCGGCACGAAGTGCCGAATAACTGAGTTATTTGCTGTATGCTATTTGATTAGTCGATTTTGTGCACCTTTGTTGCGCAAATTCGAGCAGTCAAATCATATGGCAAATAATGGTAAGGTACAATAGTGCCCTAATGCTAGTAAAGCGTGATAGTGCTTTACTTGTATTTGAAACACTATAGTACCGTAGTTATGAGTACTTCGTGCTTGAATAACTGGTATCCGGCATTGAATTTTGCATTCCAACTGTTGACCGTCGTTTGAAATTTTAAATTTTTATATACGTTAGTTACACACGTTGTCCAGATATATTTGTAATCCGGTACGGATTTAAAATAATCTGGATAATGTGTGTAATTCACGTGTATAAAAATTATAAAATTCAAATGCCGAATAAATTAATTAATACACAGTTTCTGATAAAGTTCTAAAACGATAAACTGCTATCGAATAAAGCTATGGGATAAAAATGTAGTAATCTTTTTTATTGCCACCCAATACCAATATGTAACATAAAATTCAAAAAAATGTCATCTATCAAAATGATGTATAAATTGGTTATTTTTTCATCTCATCGGGAACAATTATTTTTGCCTCCAAAACCATTCAAATACTTTCTTATTATCTTTTAAGACGC